TAATAATAACTTTTTACCCAAATCTAATGAAATATTAATGAAAAATGACCAAATTACTACAATTAATAATAAATATTAACAAAAGAAAAAGTACAAATCACCACTTTAAGAATAAGGAAAAACTCATACATTTACTTACTGCTCACAAGGAGCTCTCATCACTTTAAGAGATTGCTCCCACAGTGTTACTGGTGTTCCCAAACTTCACTCGTGTAACCAACCTCTTAAATTTGGAACAATGGCCAATACTTTAAACTCAGATAGCTACTGGCTGTCTTTGACTTTGATTTTTTTTTTTTTAAAGAACGAACACTAATTTCTTTTTTATTTTGATTTTTTAAAACAATTTTCTTATTTAACATGTCAAATTATGCCACATGTTTGTAAGGATAAGAGGCGCAATTGCATTATTTTTTTTTTTTTTGGTGATAGCCACACGCTGTGGTCCGGGTCTTTCTCTATCTGTTAAACGGTCCAGGTCCACCCGATTCGCTTCGGGAGGCATAGAAGCTAGCCCAAAAAGAATCGTCACTTGTGGGAATCAAACCCGGGTTATCCCAAAATTCTCCGCACAAAGAGAGCTCATTTGCCACTTGAGCTACCCTGTTGGGTTACAATTACATTATTTGTTGTACTTAATAGCAAATTTGACACTTTCCTCAAATCAATACTCATCAATACAAAATATATCGTATTGGGCAAATTAAATTTTGATATATATGCAACATCCTCAATAGTGTGAGATTTTTGAGAAGTTTTTGCAGGTGTGACTAGAAAAGAGAAAATGGAAAGGGAGTGAAAAAAAAAAAAACAAACAAACAAACAAAATCATTTTTGAAAAAAAAAAAAAAAAAACAAACAGATTAACGTGCCCAGGCTGCACGCGCCCACGCGAGAGTTGCGCCTCACGCGTGGTGAGGCGCATCTCTCCTCTTCATTGGTGGGGTCCACTAACTGCTAAAAACCTTATATGCCTCACGCGTGGTGAGGCACATCTCTCCTCTTCAGTGGTGGGGTCCACTAACGGCTAAAAACCTTATATTTGTCAACGACACTCATTTCTTCTCTCTCTTCATATTCTTTCCTCCACATCATCTAAATTTTTCTCAAAAATGGGAATGTCGTTAGCACAACACCTTCACTTAAGCTCAATCTCATGACCTCCTACATGAGAAAGGTCACTACATGGCATCTAAGCACAAGGTGCTTGTCCATACAAATGTAACTTAACTTTATTTACCATGTTTTACCCTAGTTAAGTTTCACGATTTACAATTTTGATGCGGGACACAAAAAAACCTTGAAACTATCTATGACACCTAAATATTTAAAAAAATTAGATTAATGTGCAAATAAAAGTACAACTAATTTCAATTAAAGACATGGTTTTTCTTGTTCTCCTCTTTAAAGGTTGAATCCTCAACTTAAAGGGCCTTCAGGCTCCTGTAAATATTTTCTCTAAATACAATATATTATAATATATTGTATTATTGGGTGGCTGTGGTGCAAGTAGGAGATTAAATCAATTGGTGACTTAATCTGTTAGGTAATTGAGGATATTCAGTTTAGCTTAAACTGAATATCTGCCTATATTGATGGCATGTATGCTTCTAAGCAAAATAGTCCTCCCACAGCTCCCATACTCAGAATACACGCACCATCAAGTATTCGGGAGAGAAGTGACATGTAGACATTCAGATGATCCTGAAGCTTCCGCTACTACGAGTAACCTTGTCTAACAGCTCCGGCACGATAGAGCATTTATGATGATGTAAATCACAGTGACTCAATGGATCAACAGACAGAGTCAAATATCGGTGCGCACAAGAGATCTGCCCACTTTAAGCATAATCCCACACTTCCGTTGCCGAGATTCATGCATTGGTCTCTTCTTTCAAATACTGCATATTAAAGCATTGAGCTAAGCTCCGTGTGGGCTTGGCAGACTGGGCCAAATGGTTTTCCTTGTTGTATCCTGTCGTTGGCTGTCTACGACACATCACGCAAATTATGCTGTGCAACCGAATGCACCTTGCAAGGTGCATACGGTTGCAAAACGGCGCCGTTTTGATTAAAAAAACGCGCGTCCCACTTAAAGAAGAAATCAGGTTCGATTCCCGGCAATAGCATTTTTATATATCCACAATTTCATAACTATATATCCATAATTTCATAACTATATATCCATAATTTCATAACTATATATCCACAGTGAATGAATGAAGTAAAAATCCACAATGAATGAATGAATGAAGTAAAAATCCACAATGAATGAATGAATGAAGTAAAAATCCACAATGAATGAACTAAATATCCACAATATATGATTGAACTAAATATCCACAATGAATGAACTAAATATCCACAATTTCATAACTATATATCCATAATTTCATAACTATATATCCATAATTTCATAACTATATATCCACAGTGAATGAATGAAGTAAAAATCCACAATGAATGAATGAATGAAGTAAAAATCCACAATGAATGAATGAATGAAGTAAAATCCACAATGAATGAACTAAATATCCACAATATATGATTGAACTAAATATCCACAATGAATGAACTAAATATCCATAAATTCATAACTATATAACCACAATTTCATAACTATATATCCAGAATTTCATAACTATATATCCACAATAATGCTATTGCTGAGAGTCGAACCTGATTTTTTTTTTTTTAAGTGGGACGCGCGTTTTTAATCAAAACGACGTCGTTTTGAACCGTATGCACCATGCGCATGGTACATTCGGTTGCACAGCATAACTATTGGACACATCATCTTGAGTCTTGACTCTTGTCATGTATGTTAAGGATGCCCGGAAGTGCTCTTATGAGCTGTTCCACAACAGAATCATGCATGCATGCAATTCCCAACTATGTCTGTGTTTTTTTTCTGGGCATCACATTTGTACAATAATTGTACTATATTGTATGTCCATTGTCCAACCAAATGGTCTGATAATTATTGTACCCTTGTCAACATTGGTCACGTATAATGAGAGGAAAGTAGAGACGTAGAGTAGCAGATCTGATGGCAAATGCCTCCATGCATGCAACATCCGTCGGGACTACGTGTGATGGTGTCTGCTACTCTGACGGTGTAGGCATTGAAATTTTGTAAAAATGATTATTTTTTGTTAAAATATTTGAATATATTTTGAATAATATTTGATATTATTTAATTTGTTTAATTAGACAATATCAAAAGAATTTGAACCTATTAAAACCCCGATCTTTGTATTCTTCAACAATAAATATGAGCTTTCTTAAAACATCATAAAAACATTCAAAATTTTGAAGCTTATTCAGAGATCACAATATGATCCTGAAAATAAAAGCCTATCCATGAAGATCCTACTAAGCATATTGATCCAAACCTCCAATGAAGAATGAAGACCAAGCCTTCAAATGCGGAGGCCCTTTAACGAAAAACAAACATATAAGTTCTAGATTATATACTAAAAAAGAACCTTTAAAAATGAACATATAGTACACTAAAAATAAATTTCTAGTATATTAAAAATGAACTTGATCCATCTTACAGTGTGGGACATGATTCAGAGTATAATGATTAGGATATATTGTATTACTGTACTAGTATGGTTTTTAATTTTAGCTAATGATTGCAAATGTAGCGTGGTAGCGGTTATATTTCAAATCTATTGAAGTATGGTTAGTTTGAAATTTTGGAAAACAACACTTTTAGTCATCCAAGCATTTTAGTCATCCAAGTATATATAAAAATAATTGACCCAGTCTTTCAATTATTAAGGTCTTCACATTTAATCACATAATTACCATCTCAGTGGCAGATATAGTCTCACAATGACAATTGAAGGACTATATCCGCCACCAAGATATTTCATTGATTTTGTCATTGAGAGATTATATCTTTCACCAAGATAATAGTTGATAGACTAAATATACAGACTTCAATAATTGCAGACTGAGTCAACTATTTCTTCATTATTGAGAGACTAAAAGCATCATTTTTTAAAAATTAAAAAAAAAAAAAAGTGGTTTATCAGGAAATTTTGATCTTTTACTCATTTGAATTTTAGTAATAAAGTTGAAAGTTTTGATCTGTCCATCCATGCCGGCAATTCAACATTATAACACAATTATAAAATAGTCAGTGGGTGAAGCAAAATTATCCAAGGAAAAAAAAATGTCACTATATATCCTGCGTAAACTGAAAGGCAACAAGAATTGAAGCCACCCAAGTCTCAATATTTCTATAGTATGACTTCCTAATATAATAATGTGTTACGGAGTATTTGTTGCATCACTAGCATGACATCATCCAAGAAAACCACCTTAATCAAGGGACACGCATTCTTATTTAATTTCCATCTACATTTTAATCTCTACATGAACTTTCAAATCTTACTCTCTAGATTTTACTTATGATGTGACACATTAATAAACTACTTTTTTCATGCAAATCTCAATACAAGTGTCTACATCAAAATCTTTTGTATGTGAGTAAAAATTAGGAATACACATAGTATTTTCCTAATTAAATAGAGTACAAAGAACATGCATAGTCATAGTTGCAGTAAGTACTAGGAAGTACGCGATAGAGTAACACCTAGTGCCGCCTAGGCGGCTAACTATATTAAAAAAAAAAAAAAAGACACAGTACACGTGTGTGGGTGTGTGTGTGTGTATATATATATATATATATATATATATATATATATATATATATATATATATATATTAGCAAGACCGACTTGGTCAAGTTAACTCGGTCGAGTTAGGCGCCTAGACGGCCGACCACCTAAAAAGTAATTTGTCTCGACCTAGGGGCACCTAGCACTTAAACAGCCACCTAAACCGATTTTTGCAATAGTGTGCATGGTACATCGGAGAGCTATGCATGGTTGGTTGTTCGGGGAAGGGGTGGAGAGACATTTTTGTACTTTTGTCGTTTGTTGTATAGTAGAAATCTTAAGATTCTAACTTACATGTTCTTTGTCTGTCTCCTGCTTTTTATATGGTTGGATTCCAAATGGAGTTACCCACATTCAATCGTTATGCCTTGGACCGTGTCCAGCATGCTTGCTGGACACGGGTAACAGTGCCGTTAGGCACTGTTATCTCTTTTTTTTTTTTTTTTTTTTTTCATATCACTTTGTTATAGAAGTATATGTTCATAATTTTATTACTATATGTTAATAACTATACATTCATAACTCCGTAACTGTACGTTCATAACTCTATAACTGTACATTCATAACTCTATAACTGTACATTCATAACGTCATAACTGTACATTCATAACTCCATAATTGTACATTCATAATTTTCGAAGCTCTATGTTCACAATTTTAGAGCTCTATGTTCATAATTTTATCACTATATGTTCATAATTGTAAGTTCATAATGTTAGAGCTCTTTGTTCATAATTCGATCAATAACTGTACATTCATAATTCCATAACTGTACATTCATAATTCCATAACTGTAGATTCATAATCTCATAACTGTAGATTCATAACTCTATAACTGTACATTCATAATCTTCGAAGCTCTATATTCACAATTTTAAAACTCCATGGTTATAATTTTATCACTATATATGTTCATAATTGTAAGTTCATAATGTTAGAGCTCTGTGTTCATAATTTCATAATTGCATAACTGTACATTCATAACGGCATAACTGTACATTCATAATCAAAAAAAAAATAACGCCGTTAACGGCAAAACACGCGCGAATTTTTTTTTTTTTTTTTTTTAACTAAATGACGCGTTTTTTTTTTTAAAAACGACGTCGTTTTGGGCCCGTGTCCACAATTCAATGTGGACACGGGTCCAGAGCATAATTTGCCACCCACATTAGATAAGTTCTAATGTCTCGAGCCAATTTTCTTAGACCAATAGATTTGTTTAAACCTCTTACCCGGCCGGCTGGGTGCATTAACAATTGTTATACAATAAATCAAGATTCATGCATTGTGAACCCTTGTCTAAAAATTATATGTGTGCAGTTAACACATTTTATACCTACAGTTAACAATTTATGTGTCTATAAATTACACAAATTATTAACTGCAAACACATAAGATATTGGTTAACATATTATGTATCTGCAATTAACATATTTGTACCTACAACTAACAGTTTGTGTTTATAATTACCATGTGATGTGCCTTCAATTATTTACAGGTACGTACAAAAACAGTTAAATGCAAGTACATAATATATCAATTGTTGGTACAGAATCTGAAGATTATTTTTGGACTAAAGTCCACAATGCAAGGTAGATCATGGTCCATGGTATAATTTGCGACAAATTATATCGTACATCAGGGCGCACAATGCATTGTACGCCCTGGCCCAAAACGACATCGTTTTGTATCTTTTAATTCCGTTTCTCCTTTTTGGTGTGTTAACTTCTTAAAAAAAAAAAATCTTTGTTTCGTATGTACAGAATTGTATAGTAAAATAAACATAAACTCCTAACATAATACACATAATCTAACATAATACATAACACATAAACTCTTAATAGTGTCTAAAAAAAAAAAAAAAAACTGTAACGGGATTGAACGGACAGAACGGTGTCCGTCGCGTCAACTCCCCACTAACTTATAGAAACGTTGTTGTTATACTACAGGATATAACAATTGATAATTTACCGGGAACCGACCCCAACAAATCTCAATATATCTGGAGTCCTATTATCATTATGGATAACATGATAGTAACTCATTACTAAGTACTCCATAGGCATACAATTTTTTGTCAAAGACTTGATGATCAAGCGGTATAATTGTGGTTCTCCCAAATGAGAGGTCACAGATTCGAACTTCAGTGAGACACTAACTTTTTGTGTTTCAGTAAGTTGAGAAAGTGTGTATGATTAGATACTATATTGTAACATGGTCAATAGTACTCAAAAGTCAAAAGTATGGAATTTTATAAGACATTTATCGTGATTTTACACAAAAATTACCCTGAACTCCTAATTTTGAGTCAAATGCCTCGGTCTTAACTACCTGACCAAGATATCCATAGTGTAGAGCTTCCTAAAGATCAAATGAGTGAAATGACTAGCTGTCTAGCTATAATATCTAAAATCCTATATGGATCTATCAAAGAAACTTCACTACATTTTCCATACAAATATTTAATTCTTTAAATTATTGCCTTATATGAAATACTTGAAACCCAAGAAGCATATATTATGACTAGGCCTAGTCAGAGATGTATATATACCTGTAATACTGCAACACCACCTCCACCTTCACCATTGACAATCGCTCGTATTTACATTTGCCTGCCTCAGTATATGAGTGATGATGGGTCGCAATATGACGACGGTTAGCTTCCAGATAACACCCTAATCATGTTTCTGTTAAGTTCGAACCCCAAACCTAAGGGCCCCTCATGTCCCCTGCCATGGGGAGCTTGTGAGAGGGGAAGTAAATCACGGGATGTGTCTCAGTGACGCAGAGATCTGAGTGCTTGCTTATTTCCCAGGATCTTACCCTTTGCGGGGTTCAAACCCAGGCATTTGCCGGCCACCACAGCCACACTCAAGCTTTCACCACTGAGCTATGCCCCGACTTTCACCGCTCTAGTCATGTTTGTTTTGTTTACCTAGATGGAGTTTTATTGTGGGATTTATGCTCCTGTGTGTGTATAACAGATTGTGGAGATGAGGGTGCACATGGACTGTCCAGGATGCGAAAGCAAGATTAAGAAAGCTCTCAAGAAACTTGACGGTATCTCGTCTTCCTATTTCCTATGGTTGATGCGTTTTATCTCTCATGGATTTTTTCTAAGAGCAATGAAGAGAAACCGAACGACTTTCCCTAATATGCATGTTTTCAGGAGTGGATGAGGTCGACATAGAGATGGAGAAGCAAAAGGTGACCGTGACGGGATGGGCAGACCAGATGAAAGTCGTTAAAACAGTTAGGAAGACGGGAAGGAAAGCGGAGCTATGGCCATACCCATACAACCCCGAATACCACAGCTTTGCCCATCGTTACTACAACAATTTCTACAGCAACCCAGCTACCCACTTCTCCAAACAATACTCGTACAACTATCACAAACACGGATACAATGGTCATGATCACGGTTACTATCAAGAAGCACCTTACTCTATCATTATCGATGAACAAACTAGCAAGATGTTCAGCGATGAAAATGCCACTGGCTGCTCTATCATGTGACAGTATCCAGATGGTTTGTAAAGAAAATGCATGTATGGGTGTTCATATATTTTCGATGCACGAATGTGACAATATAATGCTTGGTTAATTTTAGAATGACATGAAAAAAAAGGGTCAAATAACAAATGCTTTTATATAAATCCATGATTGATATATAATATTCCATATATATACTCTAAAGAACCTGTTTATAGCTGGAACTACAAGCTGGCTGCTAGTAATGGGTTAGAATCTACTTGCTTTATGTTGTCCGCAACGTGAGCAACTACTCCAGCTCCAGAATTATGAAGCCATTCATTCTTCACCTGTTCCCGGGATTTAGTAATCAATTTCATCAGATAACCAAAGAAGCAATAGTAAAAGATCAAGGTGCCGGGTTTGAAACATACATGGATATTATTATGAGCAAAGAAGGGCCAAATTGCGGAGTGGAAGTTAACATCAACTTTCTTCCACCCTAATTGTTGCATGCCACGTATCATTTCCTCTGTTTCAAAATTGCAAAACGCCAATACTGTCATTCTCGTTTTGAATTTTGCTTGCTGTAAAATAGATACGGTGGTATAAAACATAAAACACGACTACTATTAGCAGTAGTAATTGAACAATACCTTCCACAATTTCATGGTATTCTAATGTATTCTTTGTGCTAGGTTTGTTTTGTGCAGCCTCCTTTGCTTTGGCTGCTTCTGGAGGGAAATTAGGACCGTTCGATAAAACTGGAGGGCAATACTCGACACCTACAACATGCTTATAGCCATCCAATGATCGTGTAGGGGGCTGCAAAGTTAGGATATTTCAGCATTTCGACGCATGAGTTAACACATCTTATTTCGAAAACATAAACTAAAATCATACTTCATAGTACAGTACAAGGAACCATATATATTCTTACTCCTTAAATAAGTGTGCAAAATTCACTGTCACAAAACTGATACAAGCAAATAATCAGAAATACATGAATTACCTTGACGAGTTCAATCTCCCTTCGTATTGAAGAAGTCCGCCAACCAACCATGTCTAGGTTATGTCAAGAAATTTCAAGTAATTGAACAGTTTTGACGCTTTAAGCAAAATGAATATTGAATGAGAAGTAAAGAGGATACGGTCATAAGAGACATTAGCATAGATAATGCGGCATCTAAAAGCACCAAGTGCAGATCTGGAAGGAACAAATTATTAACAACAACAATAGTAGTAATAAAAATGAAAAAATATATATAACAGAGAAAAAAATAACTGAGCAACATGAACAGCTTTAGTATAGATAAGTAGAAGCCTTGAAGGCCTGTCAAATACTTACAAAAATTTCCCATCTTCACAATCTGATGCCATTTGTAAAAGAAGCGGCGGTTTATTTGGTTTACCATCTGTAAGGAAGAGCTGACTACCAGTTCGACCAACAAAAATCGGAGCCATTGGTGCAGCGAGCTTTTCCAAGATATTGACTCCCAAGAGAAATGGAAGCTGAATCATATATGAAATCAAGTATCAGAATTTCAACGCCTCGTACTCAATCTGACAGCAAAATATAAAGATGATAGTGTCTATAATGTAGTTCGAGAAATATAACCACAACTTACACAAAAATAGGAGCATTAAAAATACAACAAACATAAGAGATTCTCTACTGATTGTAATCCCCCCAAAAAGGACTTATTTCTTGGTTACAAATACTCCGTAGTAATTTCTCAAAATAGTTAATATTTACTAATAGAAAAGAATCATTATTGAGCCCTAGTAAAAAAAAACGGGGGGAGGGGGGATGGAACAATAGTGTTATGCCATGGACCCGGGTCAAAATACACAATTTATATACTAAATGTTCACAATTTACATACTGAATGTTCACAATTCAAATTGTGAACATTTAGTATGTAAATTGTGAACATTTAGTATATAAAACTGTGAACATTCAGTATGTAAATTGTGAACATTCAGTATATAAATTGTGCATTTTTGGACCCAGGTCCACCTTGCAAGGTGGACCCGGGGCCATAGAATAATTTGCCAGGATGGAAAACCCAAAAAAAAGTGATGGGGAATAAACCTGCTTGTTGCCTCGTACTCCAAGATGTGGGGTCGCCAATGTGACGAAATTGATGGGTTCCAAGCCAGCAATTAATCCTTTATTTGAAGAGCACATAGGATTTGCATTTGACTGAGCACTGGAAGGGCTTGGTGTATAAAGAACAGAAATTGCATATCTTGCAATCAACCCGCCAAGAGAATGAGATAGAAAAGATATCTTTATTAGGCTCTCTCTCTCTTTCACAAGCTGCATTACCTGTTCACGATTCACTTAAAAATAAGGACAAGCATCATCACTTAAACACAGCATCTACCCAGAGCGGGTTGAGACCACATGGATTGTATCATATTCAATGAATAATATATATTTTTTCACTTAATTGCACAGAAGTCCGCCCAAAAAGCACATTTTCAAAGCTTCATGAAGAAAACCACACCTTTCTTCTATGTTAGAGTGGCAACTTCACAATGACACAATTTATAAATTGAAATAAAGTCCATTTTAAATACTAACTTCGTCCGCTAGCCGTTTTCCAGCTCCATCGATCCCAGTAAATGTTTTTGTATAACAGTTACATGAACTTGCTGGAAACAGAAAAATACTTAAATGTTAAAATTAAGTAAACTTGCACCTCTTAGTTAATAAAAAGTATCTTTAAATGTATACAAAGAAAAAGATAAACAAACACAAATGAGATCATTTCTTAATGATGCTGACCATATATGCCAATCTACTTGCAAAAAGGTTATTTATTTTAATATGGTTGCTAGTATAAGAAACTGTTATCTTGAAAATAAATCTTTAATATATATTTTATAAATGTTCAGTTGTACTCAAACCTCAAGAATTCGTAAACTATAATGTTCTCACTCCTTTACTGTTCCAGCATGGCGAGTAAGTCACCAATTTTCAGAAATATAAGCTAGCTATTTAAATATATAGAGTAAATGCCAGCCTAGGCCCTCCGAGTTTGGTGGTTTCGCCACCTTTAGTCCTAAACTTTCAAATTGACCCTCCGTGATCCTCCGAGTTTCGAATTCGACATGCCGTAGTCCTACCGTTAAGATATTCCGTTTGAGCCGTGAAAATGAAGGGCAAAACAGTCTTTTTCTTGCAACCCCAACCAAAACAATTCATTTCCCTCAGAAATTAGCCCTAATCCACCGATAGGGCTAATTTCCGTGGGAAATGAATTATTTTGGCTGGGGTTGCAAACAAAAGACTGTTTTGCCCTTAATTTTCACGGCTCAAACGGAATATCTTAACGGAAGGACTACCATAGAGGATCACGGAGGGTCGATTTGAAACTTGAGGACTAAAGATGGCGAAACCACCAAACTCAGAGTACCTTGGCTTGCATTTACTCTAATATATACATACTGTAAATAGAGGCCAACAAAAAGGTGGTTTCTGATTGCATTAGCATCATAATATTTCTCTTTGTTCCCTCCATACAAATTATTGAATCTATTTAAATTGATATATCTAATTTATGCTGCATCATAGCCCCATATAATTGGAAAAATAAAATTAAATAAATAAAGAAAAAGCAGTGAACGAAAAGTATAAAAATAGGGAATGAGTTTAAAATTTAAAATAATAATAATAATAATAATAATAATACCATAGATTAAAAAATTGCTTCCTAGCCGCCTCTTCAACTCTGCTTGTATGTAAGTCCAGTCACTTGGGCTGCATCACTTAATGAGTTCAAGCAAAACAGAGACAGAAAACCCACCAGTTTTAAGTGAAACGCTCTTTTTAAAAATGACGTATAATGAAATACTCCGTAATCAACACAGCGATGGGCTATGCGGAAACAATTACAAAACATTACATCAACTAAATGTTCTGCCTGCATCCTATTTTAATGAGATCTTTTTCTTCTTAGGCCAACAGAACAACAAGTCAATATTCCTACGTATTTTGTAAGGCCTTACAGCATTATACTACACATTATTCATATGATCAATTAACAGTGAAAATCCCAAATGGAGAAGTCAGAATGTTCCTAGTAAGACAGGAAAAAAGAGAGAGAGAGAGAAGCTAAGCTTATTTATCTTTACATAAATGATAAATCTAGATGAAACTCAAAATCTACAAACAAAGATATGTCAATATTTTTACCTAAACATTCATTGTGATGCAAAATTTTGTAGTTAAAAAGGAAAAAAAATAAAAAAAAAAAGCTAAATATATTTATCTTCACATCTTCTAACTGCATCTATTCAGAAGTCGCATGCCAAGACAAGAACTGAAACAATTCAATGTAACAGTAGTACTCCGTAAACCGTAACCACTCAGATTAATTGGCATGGATACATCCTTCAGTTACTATTCTATATCTCTTCACACATAACTTTAATTCCTCCACTTAAACTATGACCTTGCCATTACATACAGCTTGCAGACATTCTTTATTGAGTCGTAGCATATAGAAACTTAGAAATTGTTCATAACTGTTTACCTTCCCATGATGCCGTGAACAAGGACAAGGAGATGATCGGGTTCATCTCCCACTTTGATAATGCCCCTTGGTGATGGAATAACTCCTTGAGATGCACTCATAGCATAAGCTCTTAGATTCTGATTCTTCCAGATATTATTAACACCTGCAAAAATTCAAGTAGACCCCAAATCTAAATTAAGCAAAGTTAGCATTGTTATAATCAAAGATTGGACCAAGGTCACTCAACTGGGCTATAATGCACATGGGTCAAACCACACTAAAAGATTGAATCAAACCAATTAGCTAGCCTAACCATAACCCTATAAACCCATATATCTTCTCTTATTTAATCAATGTGGGACTCTTAACAGGCATCAAGATAGGTGCAAGTGATAAACAATTCCAAGCTTCCCAAGACAGTAAACAAAAGATCAAAAGGACAGGTAAATTGGGGCAGGAAAAAAACATAGAGTGAGAATGCAGGAAGCCAGGAAAATTTTGAAGAAAAACTAAAACCTGTCGCCGCATTAAAACCCTAATTCCAACAATATGATTTCAAAGTCTTCAAATTAATTTTCGGGACTCATATAACAGAACAGAAAGAGTTATTAATTATTATACCAAACAACGTGTCAACTTCTACCTAAATTACCATTTTGGTACACAAATAGGCTGCCATTAATTTTCAACATACACTAGGCAACTACTTGCCAAACGTGCAATTAGATAATGCCGTAATGCAACATGTAAATGGATTATTTTGCACCATAAATGTTCAGTTTTATCATCACTCATAGAACTGAATAATTGTCCTTCAAAAGGTCAAAATTATCCACCAGGGTGAGGTTAGTTTCTTGATAATTGAGCAATGTCTGTCATTTTTTGTGTATTAAATAAATTAATATAATAATATTAGACAAACACATGTACAAAAACAAAGATATTAATTCAAAAATGACCATGTTATCCACTTTGCACACTACTTTGCAGAAATCTCAATCTCATATAACTATACAAGAAACCAAGCCAACACGTTCAATGATAGAGCAAATACACATCACAGGGATGTGTTGATGCAATCCATTGGCCTTGTTTGGTAACATAGTTAGCATATCAGCCAGTTTTGACTTATTTGACGACTATTAGCTGTTTGACTTGGTTAAACAATAAATATGAGTGTTTGATTAATTAGCTATTTGTAACAACTTATTGCTCCAAAATGCTAAAATTCAAAAAGATGCTCAAAGTAGCTTTTTCAATCATACAACTAATTTACCGAACACTTCTACAATCAGCTAATGCTATGTCAAACCCACTAACTCAATCAACTAATAACTATTTACCAAACACCCCCATTATCTTAAATGGGAAATTACAGTTCTTTAAGTTCAACTACCATAATATCATAAATGGAAATTAAATTCATGGTACCAAAACATAAAAATAAATGAACATAACTCAGCATTACTGCTAGAATTTGAAATCCCAAGCACCCACAATTTTTACACCAGACAACTCTCCATTATATTAGGCCAAAACTTTGCAATTACCCAATTGATATTCGAGGTCCACACGAGCAACAAAAGCCACTAATTTTGATAAAGTGAGCGGAATCTGCATTGCCTCGAGTTTGAATTATACTAAGAAATAAACAAAATTAAAAAAAAAAATCAACAGCTAAAGACTTGGACTGAAGACGGAAGACAGAGTCAAAAGAATTACCGAAAAAGCTTATGAATTTCCAATCAAATCCTCTGCGGCAGCGGGACGAAGCTGAAGCAGAGGCAGAGCAGTAGTGAGAGGAAGAGCAAGAGGTGGAAGACGGTGGATCGGACGATTGGGAATTGGGGAAAAGACGAGGCCTATAGTGATGTTGTAGCAATGGTGCGGATGACGCCATCTGTCTTCACATATCATGTACGTACGTAATTGTGTTTACAGAGGGCGGAGAAAGTAAAGAGGGCAGACAGAGAAGACTGAACTGTAGAGAGAGAGTGCTTCTAGAAAGAAAACCGGTTGGCTGCTACTCTCCTATAGTCCTATGTGCCAACATGGGATAAGTCATGAGTAGTGACTTTTTTTTTTTTTTTTTGAAAAATAAAGATAAATTCATTAACTTAAATCACATAATAGAGTATTACAAATGATAGGAGGAGGATTAAGAAACTACTCCGAGGGATCAGACAAGGATCTAGACTGCGTGGTTAACAAGTGGGCTGCCTGGTTCGCTGATCTCTTAGCAAACGAAATAAACACATTTCTAAAGTTATTTAACATGTGTTTAATGTCTTCAAGATCAAGTGAAAGGACAAAAAACCGCAAGGTGCTTTAATGGCCTGGACAGTTTGCAGTGAGTCAGATTCCACCTACAAATTATCAAAGTTGTGTGCTTTTAGCCAGCTTAAAGCCTCACGAATGGCCACTGCTTCAGTCTCTCTCGGTGTGAAGGTGTCTTTCCACTGAACTCCCCGGGCTACTATGAAGGTTCCATCTTCATCGCGGATAACGCATCCCAGACCCATGGCCGCTCCGGAACTGTTTAACGTCGCATCGACGTTCATCTTCATCATGCCTGGTTGAGGGCGAGTCCACTTGTGTGATGGGATGGAGTCTGAATGAGAAGAGGGATGAATTAAATGTGTAGCCTCTTTCCATTCACCTAAGAAACTCTTTGCCATACGAATAAGTTGATGTTCATGAAGAGTGGATGAATTGTTCCAAAGTTTGGCATTCCTCTGCTTCCAGATTTCCCAGCAGATAATAACCACCAGAGAGAGATTTCCTATGTCCATACCAGGGATATTGTGATTCACCCAATTTGAAAAAGAATGGTCACTTGAGCCACTGAGGTGAACACCTGAAGGTCTCCAACATGTTCTAGCAAAGGTACAGTCCACCAAAATATGGAATATAGATTCATTTGCAGCGTTGCAAAGAGGGCAAATCTCATCGCAGTCCACCATCTTTTTACGTAGAAGGTCTTTAGTTGGTAGGTTGTTCGTGCATCCCTGCCAGAAGAAGACTTTAGTTTTGGGGGGTATTTTTAGTTGCCAAACAGTTGCCCAAGGTTGAGTATCAGCTTCTTGGAGGTCGCCTCTGATTGCATTGTAGCAACTTTTTCACAGTGAAACGACCATCATCATCTGCTGACCAAATGATCTTGTCTTGTCTCCGTTGCACAGCTAAGGGGATATTTAAAATGAGGTTGGCATCCCTGTGAGAGAACATGATTCTAATAATACCTTCATCCCATCGGGATTCCTGTGTGATGATCAGATCAGCAACCTTAGAATTTTCCATTAGAGGATACGGGAGAGATTGCACTTTGGGATTGGACTTGTCCGGGAGCCAGTCATCTTCCCATATATTGATCTAAGAACCATTGCCTACCCTCCACCTGCTGTGTTTTCTGATTATATCCTGGGTTTGAAACAGGTTGCTCAAGATAAAAGAAGGATTAGAGCCCATCTTGGCATTCAAAAAAAGATGAACCTGGGTAGTATCTTGCCTTGTAAATTCTTGCTGCTAGAGAATTTTGATCATTGATTAATCTCCATGTTGCTTAGACAGCATGGCTAAATTAAAATCCCTAAGATTTCTGAACCCCAAGCCACCCCATCTCTTTGGATGACAGAGTTTCTCCCAGGATTTTCAGTGAATCCCTTTACTCTCGCTGCTACCCCCCTTCCACCAAAACTTGTTCATGACATTCTCAATCTCTCTGCAAAGACCTATGGGTAGCAGAAACACTCCCATAGCATAAGAAGGAATAACTTTAATGACGCTCTTAAGAAGTACAGTTCTACCTGCCCTTGACAAGAAATTATGGTTCCAGCTATGAATGCGAGATATAATTTTCCTTTTGATGAATCCCAGGACCTCCCTTTAATTCCTTCCAATAATCATAAGTAGGCCTAAATAATTTCCAGCTCCCCCTACTGTACTAACTCCCAAGATATTACTCACCATGTCCCTGGTCCCTTCCCCCACATTTGCACTAAAACAAACAGAAGATTTATCAAAATTTATATACTACCCAGAAGCTTGGCCGTATAAAGATAACAGCTCCTTGACACTCCTTGCCTCCTCTTGATTAGCCCTGAAGAATACATAACTATCATCTGCAAACAACAAGTGGCTCACACAGGGTGCAGTTCATGCCACAGAGATACCATGGAGTTTGCCCTCAGCCTCGTACCTTGACACCATAGCATTGAAACCTTCAGCTATTAAGAGGAAAATGTATGGGGAGAGAGGGTCTCCCTGTCTGAGTCCCCGGCCTAGAATGATAGGGCCAATCTCTTCGCCTTGATTGAGAATAAAGAAGTTTGTTGTGGTGACACATGTCATTATCAGATCAACACATTTACTGTCAAACCCCATCTTTAGCATAACATCCTTTAAGTAACTCATTCCACTCTATAATAGGCCTTGCTTAAATCTAATTTTAGAGCAGCAAATCCCTCACGGCCTTGAGTTTTCCTCTTCAAAAAATGTTGTAATTCAAAAGCCACCATAATGTTATCTGTGATTAGTCGCCTCGGGACGAAAGCACTCTGATTGATGGAAACTATCCCCTCCAGAATAGGCTTTAGACGATTTGCCAAAGCCTTCGTGAGGATTTTATAGGCAACTGTACACCGAGCGATTGGCCTGAGATCCCCCATAGACTCCGGCTTGGGTTTCTTTGGGATTAACACTATGTGTGTAGTGTTGAGTCCCCTCGGCAAATGGCCAGTTGAGATGAAGTTATTGCACATGTGAAACATACTACACTCAATAATGTCCCAGTAAGATTGGAAGGTAGAGAATCAAAGTCTGAGAGTGAAATGAATGAATGGAGATGGTGAAACTTACTGCCTTTGTTTTCTTTATTCTACAGAGAGTTTGGAGAGGCAAGGAGGAAATCAGAAAATTGGATGGAGAAGGGATGATTAAATAGGGTGCAAAACCCTAGAAAATTCTCTTATGATTGGTTGATGAAAAAGAGAAAGTTGCTGATTAGTTCAAGAGTTATCAGACAAAGGCTTGTAGGGATCTGGTTCACCATGCTACATGGACCATGGTCCAAAATCAGGATTTAGAATAGTTTGGGGTTGGAATTGAATTTCTCTAAAATGATTTCTAGTTAGGCACATGATTTAGGCTTCTCAGATTTCTCCCGGTTTCACTCAGATTGAATTCTCAGTTTAAAAACTTGGTACGCGAAGTACCCGAAAATTTAGGATTTTAGAATTAAAATAAGCTCCGGTGTTGAATTCATTTAAAATGTAACTCAAAATAATTTATTCAAACACCAAATTTATCTCAAAAATTTTTAATAGAGTGAAAATGACTATTTTGAAATTTATTGAAATTAGATTTATAAAATTAAATTTTGGGTTGTCACAAGCTGTTGGCAATACTTTCGTGGCCCGTTTGGTTCACGGAATAGGCCGGGAATGACATAGCATTCCCAGTAATAGGCCTATTCCGTTGTTTGGTAACCATTTCTATTACCAGGAATAATATTCCTGGTAATAGCCTATTACATCAAATAAGGTAATAGCTATTACTAGGGCCCCCCCTGGTATTAGCCTATTACTGAACGCTCAGGAATAGATTTTAGAATCTATTTCCTTTTTTACCCCTTTCTATAATCTAATTTTTTTATTCTATATATAAATTTATCCTATTTCACCACCGTAGTCGTCGCCGCCGCCACCACCACCACCACCACCACCACCATCGCCGCCGCCACCACCACCATCACCGCCACCGCCGCCACCACCACCACCACCATCACCGCCACCGCCGCCACCACCATCACCGCCGCTGCCGTCGCCACCACCACCACCACCATCGCCACAACCGTCGCCGCCGCCCCCACCACTGCCACCGCCACCACCACCACTACCACCACCGCCACCGCCACCACCACCATCACAACCACCGCCACCACCATCGCCGCCGCCGCCACCACCATCGCCACCGCCGCCACCACCACCACCACCATCGCCGCCGCCGCCACCATCACCATCACAGCCACCGCCACAACCATCGCCGCCGCCGCTACCATCACCATCACAGCCACCGCCACAACCATCGCCGCCGCCGCCACCACCACCACCACCATCGCCGCCGCCACCACCACTACCACCACCATCACCGCCGCCGCCACCACCACCACCACCATCACCGCCACCGCCACCGCCACCACCATCGTCGCCGCCGCCACCACCGCCACCAGAACCACCACCCAGCAGCACCACCGCCAAAACCGTCGCCGCCCCCACCACCACTGCTACAACCGTCACCGTCACCACCACCACTGCCACCGCCACCACCACCTACCACCCCAGCACCACTACCACCACCGCCACCACCACCACCGCCACCATCACATATTTTTATAAGGGTATTTATGTCTTTTAAAACATATTTCATTTCTATTCCTTAAATTAACTAAACACTGTAATATAATTCCTAAAGTCTATTCCTTCCGCGAACCAAACAATAGAATACAATTCTTATTCTATTCCTTGCCTATTCCATTCCTTAATAGCATTCCTATTACCTCAAAATTTATTCCGTGAACCAAACGTGCGGTTGGTGTTTTGTAATGTTTCAGATCCACTTGCATTGTGGATGAAGTACAAGATACACATGTCTGAAGATTTCTTGAATCCTTGGGTTCATATATCTGAATAAATCGCAAGTCTATTGCATTTGTTTTCTTCGTCACATTAATTTTGCGTCCAAGAATCTTTTACGAACCCATTGTTATTGCAAAGAAGGATTCCGCACGTATCCGATCTCGTCTTGCTTGTTTTGTCTTGCTATCTCGAAAACTTAAACCTCAACAAGGTAAAACACCTACGGAAATGAACTATAATTATATCTATCCATAGGACTTTTTCCACCGCCTACGCAATCGGCTTACCCCTGAACAGTTGACATTGACAGACGTATTTTTTATTTTTATTTTTTCTTAAAGAAGCCTTATTTTTTTTTCTTAATTCCCATGTTTTAAGCCCTATCATTAAAAATATTTCATGTTAATTACGGAATGCTTAATTAGAAAATAATTAAACGTGTTATTATGATTAACGTATTTTATATGTTCCATTAACTACATTAATAATTAATAATAGTATCATATATTCATATTACTAAAAACTTTTATACATCGTATGCGAATTCAATTTCTTCTTTCAACCCTGACTACTGTCTCTTTACTAATCACATAAAAAGATACTAATATTGTTTGTAAATGAATTGTACAGAATTACTAAATTATTATATGTTATTATTCGCAAATATTTGCATCAAAATTTAGATTTGAAAACTCATACGGTACTTCGAATTTAAAAGCGACATTTAACCTTCGCACTCAAAAAATCCTGATTGGAAGACAATTTCGTTTTGGGAAATATAACTTTCCGAACATTAGGGATCATGTATCGGCGAGCAAACAATATGTTAAGGAAAATAAACAATATAACATATATAATTTTTCAATAATATATCTGTCGAAAAATTTGCTTTCGTACTTTCTACAGGTTTCGGAAAATATACAATATGAATCATATGATTTCCAAATCTCTCCAAATTTTGTATTACCAACTAGTATTTGTCTCGTGCGATGCAAGAGAAATATGTTATAAAAATATACCCTATATGAGGTTTATTCATATATAAAAATTTTGTTATTTAATAATTATGTGTGAATTGCTATGATAAAATTATGAACATAAATATATTTACAATTAAAATAAGAATTGATATTTAAAGGGGGGGGGGGGGGGGGGTGTTTACTACAAATCTTAAACTCTAGAAATCTCAAAGGTCTAAAATTTTTGATCTGTGGTGACTCTGAAAATTGTAATTCAAGTACTATTGTAGTTTACTAAGTTCTTAAAAATGTGTAATATTAAATACTATGTACTAAATTTTTAAAATTGACCTCATTAGAATAATCTCA